AGATTTGATTGTGTATCCTGTCCATGGCATCTGTGATGCTTGTAGTTAGAGTACAAGCAAGTAATCCTTGGCATAAAAGATTATATTTGAAGGATGGATGGCACTGTTACAGTAGTTCGTAAGAACATCTTAATCAGAACTTGCTGTAGTCCCATATCAATGCACTCCACTTCTATCTGGTGGACCTGGATTACACCAAGCCTTTTGAGTGGAGCTGTTCTTGTAAAGTTGTACAGGTCATGTGCATCTCTTTGAAAAATTAATATCCTATTCCTGCAGACAGTGACTATCTCTGAATTGTTTCAACCTAGAGACCTTCCAGGAGCCAAGATTGTAGGGTGAATGTGTGCACAGTTTCTGTTCAATTCCTCAAAATTCCTATATTCCTCCTATATTTTGCAGGATAACCTGCTATATTTCTTATATTTTTTCCCATTAAGTGGCTAAGGAGGTACAACAATGCTACAATAAGTGTGTAGTAACGACACGCACTAGTCTGTCAATCGGTACTCTATATTGTTTTGCAGTAACAATTTTTGTGGCAATACAAGTGTGCCACATATATTGACCCAGGTTTCTACGACAGCCAAGGATATTTACATGATACTGAGAGGGAGTTCATAAGATAGAAGAAATAATTCAATTGAAAAAGAATAACAAGTACTTTATTAAATAGTTTAGCTTACCTTATTCAGTGTTTAACATTTTTATCGTTTGTATCACGATACGGATTGTGCATATCGATTATCATATTGTGGGCGGATGTATCAGTGAATCGTCACACCCTATCATACATGTGCATTTGTATTTAGATTCTCGAGCACAATTCTTTTGCTTAAGTTACTATAGTGTTTGCAATAAAATGACTCAATTTGATCAAACTAATCAAGAGCTAGCCAGACGTGTTACTGAATGTAGGCCTACAATGATTTTTCTTGTCATTACCATAGTTTAAAACCATGCTATATGCATTATTTAGACTCTACTAATACGCAAAATGTAGCTAGCCTGTGGTTTTGCCTTTTTAGGCTGTAAGGCTATAAACTAATGCTATTTTGCATTTTTACGTCAAATAATCTAGCTTGCTCTACTGATTTGTTCTGCTATATAAATCACACAGTTGAGTCTCCAATGGCAATGTCAGGAAAGAATGTCATTCTCCCACTACTGAAAACGTGAATTTCAACCCATCAACTTATCTTAATTCTATGATTGATATGACTGTTTGTCCCACATAACTATGTCTATGATAAGCATTATAACTTAATCATTACTTACTGTAATTACTCTTGTCTTGACATAAGTAAATGATCAAAGTAAAGACAGCCCCTAAATTCAACGGTGGCTGGCATGTCACCACAACTTAACCGAAGAATATTTAATTCATAACACTCACTTATTGCAACATTACATTTATTTTATAAACAGTTGATGAAAAGATCGGTTCGCCACTGCACTGGCACTGGTACTGGTAGTTGTACTAGTAGTAGTACGGACTAACACTGTCACAGTGTCCACAGTCACTAATCTAACCACAGAGCTCTGGTGGCAGAAATTGAAATTATCTTGCAGTAATTTAATCCTAATATATTTTACTATTATTTATCAGATATAATTATATTATATCACTATTCATTCACTAATTCTTAGTATTTACTTGGTCTGTTATTACAACAACAAATCATGGGGGCTGCCATTATGGTGAAATGGAGCACCGTAATTGGTTCAAGCTTCACACAGAGCACCGTGATTGGTTCAAGCTTCGCATACAGCCATCTATTGGCAGAATTTGTATGTTTTGGAAAATTCCACTTTTCAAACGCTTATTACAAACTAATGTGCAAGAATTTTGGGGTGAATAGTGATAATGTATATTACTTATAGCCAAAATTAAACTTGGTTCCATGAGGTGTCAAACGAAAGTCATTTTCTAGACTGATTTTGCCACCTCGGCCCATGGCCTAGAATGAAAAACGTGGAAAACGCAATGTACTCAACGACTATAACAAATATTAAACAAAATAAAACCAGAGTTTTTCTCTACTTCGGATGTAACTTATATTATATACATGTTCGTATATATATATATATATATATATATATATATAATATATATATATATA